CCGCATCCTGCTGCTGCTCTGCAACACGGCGGGCGACGGCCCCCGCCTGGCCAGGTACCCGCCTGTGCCCCCCCACCCGCCTGCCCCCCAAGGGACGGGGCGTGGGGAGCCCCCCTCAGCCCGCTGTCCCCTCTGTCCCCAGGTTTGGGCCACCGCTGGTGCTGCGGGAGGAGCGGGGCGTCTCCTGGGAGCAGCTCCAGCAGAGCATCCTGGCCCAGCTGCGGGCTCTGCTGCGGGGAGAGGTGCGGGCGCAGGTGAGCTGGTGGGGGGGAGACGCCACTGTCTTCTCCTGGGATCTCCAGTTCAGCCAGGGCTGCTGGAACCATGGCCATGGAGGGGATGAAGCCATGGTGTCTCCATGGGTGGCCATGGTGTCTCCATGGATGGCCTTGATAGGGCCATGGTGTCTCCATGGGTGGCCATGGTGGATCCATGGATGGCCTTGATGGGGTCATGGTATCTCCATTGGTGGCCATGGCATCTCCATGGGTGGTCATGGTGGAGCCGTGAGTGGCCATGGTGTAACCGTAGGTGGCTGTAGTGTCTCCACGGATGGCCATGGTGGAGCCATGGGAGGCCACAGTGTCCCTCTGGGTGGTCATAGCAGCCCTGTGGGTGATCATGGTGTCACTGTGGGTGACTGCAAGTGCTACCCAGCTCCCACAGCAGAGCCACTCCAGCCCAACCACCCTCCCCAGCGCCCAGGTGCCACCATCCCAGGGGCGCTGGTGTCCCTGAGCCATCTCTTTGCCCCCCAGCCACACCGCAGCCAGCAGAACAGGTCCTCCCCCATGCCCTCATCCCCATCCCCACGGGTGTCCCCTGGAAGCCTGGCCATCGGGACCAAAGAAATCTGATTTTTGGGGTGTTTTTTCTCCTGTGTCACAAAACACATCTCCCCCCGGGTGGCATCAGAGGGAAGGGGGGGCTCTGCCCCCCACCAGCCAGACAGCCCCCTCTCCCCTTGCAGGGCACGGGAGCCCTTTTCCGCATCCGCCTGGCGGGGGGCTCAGCCCCCTGCACCTACCTGTCCCCGCAGGACCCCCGCCCGCTCTGCCACCCCGCCGTCGACAGGTAAGAACACCCGTGGGGAGGGGATTGTCCCCAGAATGTCCCCTCATTCCCTGGGGGTGGCCAGTGGTGTCCCCATGGATGGCCAGTGTCCCCGTGGGTGGCCAAAGTGTCCCTTTGGGTGGTTGTGTTGGTACCGTGGTTGCCCAGAGGTGCTCCTGTGGTTGGCCACAGCGTCCCCATGGGTGGCCACAGTGTCCCCATGGGTGGCCATGGTGTCCCTCTGTGTGGTTGTGTTGGTACCGTGGTTGCCCAACAATGTCCCTGTGGTTGGCCACAGTGTCACCACAGGTGGCCACAGTGTCCACATGGGTGACATGATGTCCCTGTGGGTGGTTGTGTTGATGCTGTGCTTGCCCAAAAGTGTCCCTGTGGTTGGCCACGGTGTCCCCATGGGTGGCCACAGTGTCCCTGTGGGTGGTCATGGTGTCCCTGTGGGTGGTTGTGTTGGTACCGTGGTTGCCCAACAGTGTCCCTGTGGTTGGCCACAGTGTCACCACAGGTGGCCACCCTGCTCACTAGGGACTGGGTCCCCAGCTCCACATCCCAACCATGGGTGCTGTCAGGGAGGTGGTGGCCATCCCTGCCTGCCACCATGGGCTAGTCAGGAGGTGGCCCCACAGGGATGGGGGGTTCTGGGGGTCACCTCACCTCGTCCTCACCCCCAGGGCGCTGCAGCTGAGCGAGACGGGTGGCCCTCCCCACGTCAAGCTGACGGTGGAGTGGGACATGAGCACCAAAGAGCGGTGAGTCCCCTGCACCCAGGGACACCCCAGCACCCAGCTCACCCTCCCTGACCCCCAACCCGGTGATACGTGTCGTCGTGTGTGTGTGTGTGTGTGTCCCCAACACTGTCCCACGCAGCCTTTTCGGGGACATCCAGGAGGAGGTGGTGCAGGACGCGGAGAGCGTGCGGCTGCAGCAGCAGGCACATCGACAGCAGCACAGCTGCACCCTGGACGAGTGCTTCCAGCTCTACACCAAGGAGGAGCAGGTACCCCCAGCCCTGCCCTCTCCCTGCCCTCTCCCTGCCCTCTCCCTGCCCTCACCCTGCCCTCACCCTGC